CGCTTGGGCAGACATGGCACTTACGTGGCCCCGTGCTGGGCGTTTCCCCCTCTGGGGTGCGTCTGTTGTCACTGCTGCAAACTCCGCAGTCACCTCCATCTGACAGCTCTTTTCTTCCTCTTCCATGCATTCTGTGCTTCCAGTTGGCCATGGACGTGGAGACCACCCAGCCACTCTTGCGTGAAGAGCCGCATGCACTGGGTGTGCAGCAGAGGGCTGGGGCTGGGCTGCAGCCTGACGTGCGGGTCACAGTGCCGCTGCAGCCAGCCCCCACCAGAGTTTGCAGAATCAGGGGGCATCCGTCACGGAGGGCAGGCCTTGCACCTGTTCCCTGGTGGCGAAGGTTCAGGAGCTCCGAGTGAGAGCCGATTGGCTAACACTCATTTGTGGGCAACTCTGGGGTCCTCAGCACCAGCAGGGAGCAGCCTGTAATCCCTGGGCTTGCCCCACGGGGATGGGCTGATGGGCATCCAGGGCTGAGGCCACCGCAGGGGTCCTCGCGCCTGAGAGGCCGGTTCTGCCTACCTGGCTGGCAGGCTCAGCCTGGGAAGAGTGTGTCCTGCGACATTTCCCTCGGGGGCACCATGGGGGTGTCTTGGGGTCCATGTCAGGACCCCTCCCCTCTTGAGTCACTCATCCAGCCTCCCCACCCCCGAGGCGCTGGCTCTACCCAGGATGGCCTGTCCCGGCCCAGCTCGCAGGCCCTCATCATGCCCGCAGGTGGCCACCAGCGCTCCCTGCGCGGGGTCCCGTGCCAACTCAGGGCCTCAGCAGTGAGCAGGAGCCGGTCCCTGCCCACAGTACTCCCTTTGGGAGGTGGAGACTGGCAGGGAAGAAGTAAGCAGCCCACAGGCAGGGGCACTGCTGTGAGGGAAGGGTCCAGAAGGAACAGGGAAACAGGTTCAGTGCTGGAGAGCAGCAGGGGCCACGTGATGGCCACGTTAGGGAGACTGGAAAGGCCTCGAGAGGAGGGGCCACACAGGCTGCGACCTGAAAGGTGAGGAAGAGCGTGGGAGGCAGGACAAGGTCGGGGACCAGCCAGGCCAGAGGGAGCCAGCCCCGGCCACCGGCCAGGAGGGTGCGCTGGGTTCTGACTGCAGTGCGAGGCCTGGGCAGTGACACGGCCCGGTGTCCCTGTCTGCAGTGGTCCTTCTGAAGGCCATTCTTGTTGGTGGAGAAGGGAGGGAGGAGCAAGAGGGGGAATGGAGAGACCCATGAAGCGGCTGTTATGGTCATGCTGGTGGTGGCTGTGGGGACAGAGCCGTGTGGGTGGAGGTCCAGCCGAGGACTCTGAGGTTGGCAGCTTGGGGTGGGCCACAGGGAGGCCTCGAGGTGCTAGTTGCGCACAAGGTTCTCCCGTGGCCCTCGATACAGCGGGTGGGTGGTTTGTGAGTCCGTCGTCCGCGGGAGGCGGTGGGATGAGAGGAAAGGCTGTCGGGCGCTGGTGACTGCGCTCTGTCTGTGACGCCACTCGCGGAGAAGGGGTGAGAAGAACCCGGGGGTGGGGCAGGCTGGGACCACATAACGTCTCTCTAGACGGGATGCCCATGAGACAGCCCCGGGGAGATGCCCTGTGCCAGGTGGGTTGAGCTGGCACCTGGGTTGAGTTCGGAAGCCCTGCGTGGCGTTCGGCCTCCGAGGCGGCCAGGGCCCGCTCACCTCCCGCTCACCTCCCGCTCCACGCTCCACGCTCACGAGACACGTCACATATGCTGAGCTCTTCCCATCAGCGACCTCACGTCCTGTGTCCGGGCTCTTCCCAGCCCGCCTCTGAGCCAGCTGTCTGCTGCGATGGGCCTCTACTTCTCAGAGGTGGAGACTGAGGTTCGGAGGCCAAGAGGCCTGGAGGGACTTATCCTGGGTCTCACAGTAGATGAGTCGGAGTCTCGGAGCTCGTCCCCATGCCTCCGAGGACCTCGCTGCCTGTCCCGGTCACACCACCCCCAGCTGCCACAACCCAGAGTCGGCCAGCATGTGCTGTGCTGAGGTCTTCCTGTCAACTTAATGGCCACAAGAACTTTCCAGAACTGGTATTGCCAATAGGCAGGAGACCTGGAGCTCAGAGAGGTCCACGCCTGGCTGAGGTCACACAGCTTGGGAGAGGGAAGCCAGTCCTAATGGGAGACACTGAGGTGGTGATCTTTTGACCCCTCAAGATGGTGGCCCATGGAGCCAAGAGGCCTTGGCTTTGCTCCCCAAAGAAGCTCCACGCCTGTCCCAGCCTCAGTTTCCTCATCCATGAGATGGACCTAAAGACACTTCCTATGTCCTCTCTGCTGGGAGGGTCTAGAGAGGAAGCTAAGGGCACGGGAACCGCAGAGCCATGTGAATGCCAGCTGGGGGTGGGATGCCCAGGAGTGGAGAGAGGCCCTTCCTGTGTGGGCCTTGCCGGGACCTCAGCCCTCCACCCAGGTGGACACCTGGGCTGGCGAGAAGGCACGCTCCCTAGTGGGGACGGCTGGGGTTGCAGTGGCCACAGGAGCCAGGAGGGTGGAGGAGATGCTGGGGGAGCAGAGGGCCTGTGTCGCTGGAGGAGGGGGTGGGCAGGCGTTACTTTTGGCCGATGGATCTAGTATTGGAATGTTTAATGGATACACAAGGGCGGTATCAGTGAGAAGCGGGAAATTGGTGACTTAGGCCTTGTCCATCTTTGTCCACTCGCTGCTGCTAGTCCTGCTACACACCACGGTAGGTATTTCCCCCGAGAACAGGACATCAGAGGGAGACCCACTAGGTGCCTGGACTGTTAAGCTACCACCTCTGCAGGCAGATTCCAGCAGATGGCTCCTCCAGGTGTTTCCTGGGCCACGTTCCACCTGGGCACCGCTCAGGCGAGTCGAGTGAGCTGACCATAGGCCTCGAAGGCGAAGTGTGGGTGGAATTCAGGCCGGGGCCCCCCTGACCTGGACGGAACCCAGGCTGTGAAGAGAGGAATGTCTCTGTGCCTTATTCTAAGGCTCCTCGGTTATTTTAACAGATATTTCTTGAGTGCTGCCTTGTCAACTCTGGCAGTAATCCCCCTTTGTCATCAGTTTCATTTTCTATGGTTTCAATTGTCCTTGTCAACCATGGTCTAAAAATATTAAGTGGAAAAGTCCAGAAATACTTCATAATTTTAAAATCACCTACAAGTATGGTTATATGAGAGAATCTCATGTTGTCTCCGCTCCACGCTGCCCAGGACATGAATCATCCCTTTCTTCAGTGTGTCCATGCTGTATAGGCTACCCGCCTGTTAGTCACAGGAGCCATCTTGGTTATCAGGTCAGTTGTCATGGAATAGCAGTGCTTGTGTTCAAGAAAACCTTATTTCACTTAATAACTGCTTCAAAGGACAAAGAGTAGTAATGGTGGCAATTCAGATATGCCAAAATGAAGCTATAAGTGCTTCCTTTTAATGAAAAGGTGAAAGTACATAAGATATTATGAGAGACAGAAAGAGAAAGATCATATTCACAAAATTTTTATTATAGTATGTTGTTATAATTATTGTATTTATTAGTAGTTACTGTTGTTAAGCTAGGTCTAATACATACAATTAAACTTTATCATAAGTAGGCACGTATGGGAAAAACCGTGGTCCATAGGAAGTTCAGTGACATCTTCCCACAGCTGAGGGAGGCCCACTGTGTCAGGGCTCTGGGCCTGATCCCATGCACCGTAAGGTCTCCCGTGGGCCAGTAGCAACACTCCATCCCTCAGTCGTGACAGCCCAGAACGTCTCCAGACACCTCCAGATGTGCTCCCTGGTGGAGAACCACTGGCTCAGTGACACTGCTGTTGGCCAGTTTTGAGCCTGACCCCACTCCCACCTCTTGTGTGTTCAGGCAGAGCTGGCTCTGGGCTGACACCTGGCGCAGGTGAGGTCCGCAGGTGTTTGCCCCGCCTGGCTGCCCACCTGGCCTCCCACCTCCTGACCTGGCTGCTTTGGCTGGGTCCCTGCTACTTCCTGCTGAGACAATGCCAGTCACACTGAGTGGGTGAGGGGGAGAGAGTTGGGGTGTGAAAGGGGAAGCACAGCTGGCGGCAGTGAGCGCCTGCGGTGGGTGGGTCGTTGTCACCCAAGTATTTGTTGTGCTAAGCCGACCCTGGGACCCTGGAGTTTATAAGGAAGGGGGCACCTGGGTGCTGGGCGGGGAGGCACGGGCAGTGGATTCCCACGGGGGACTCCACACCCAGGAGTTAGAGAAGGAAGGCTTCCCGGAGGAGGCGGTGTTCCAGCTGTGACCCGGAAGATGAGCAGGAGTCAGCCAGGCACAGGAGGGGGAGGGATTCGTCGGGGCTCACTTTTAATAAAGTTTTAAAAGCTTTTCTGAAAAAAATCAGTTCCCCTTTAGTAGGTGATATAAAAAAGGGCCAAATCATCTCAAAGGTCCCGGGGTCTACACCTCTGTTGGGAAGTCATGTCCTCAGTCCCCCGTACCCAGCGGACATGTTTGGCTCACGTGAGGCCCAGGGTGGATATCGAGTGGGGGGTGGGTGGCCTGTGGCATGGAGGGGGCCTGCCCCTCCTGTCCATGCAGGTACTTACTTTGGCAATAGTGACCTCCCCGGGATGCCTTCTGGCTGTGTGCTGAGCCTGGCAGGAGGGACAAACAGCAGGACAGGTGCAGCATCTGAATCAGAGAGGGGCGCAGCCACCGTCTCCACACAGCGAGAGCTCATTGAGGCTCGCTGCATGTCCACTGGGGGACCGTCCTCCCTCTGTGGCCTCCCGGAATGGGGCTGATGGATGCTTCCTCTCACTTGGGCTTCCGTGATCTCCACAGGGAGAGAATGTGGTGGCTCAAAAACAGCGTGGTGAGGCATACACTGAACGTGAAAGCCCACCTCCCCTTGGCCGAAGCCGGGTGGGTACCTGGCCTCCAGGTGTCCAGGAAGGACCATCCTGCTGGACCGGGGAGCTAGTGGCCAACATGCAAGACACCCCACCCTCTAGCGATGTCAGGCGTGCGAGCAGGCTCCTGGTGACCGCCTGTGTTGTTCCTCTTCTCCTGCAGCTACAGCCTCCGCCTGGCATCCCGATGCCCCCCACCGACAGCCCCGTACATCACCAGGCAGTGTAGGAAGGTCAAGGCCCCTGCCGCAGCCCAGTTCCAGGGACCCTTCTTCAAAGAGTAGACTCTTCGCCTGCTCCCTGACAGGTAGGAGACCGGCGGCAGCAGGTAGGCGCAGCTCTGACAACATGCAAGGAGATCGCGGGCCCGGGGACTTGGCGTGGGTCCTGGGTGGGGGGATGGGAGGACTTACGAAGCCCCTAGGAGCCAGACACAGGTCCTTCCTGCAGGAAGGGCATTTAGTGGCCAAGAGCACAGATCCTGGACCCCCATGGTTCAGACCCCAGCTCTGTCCCTTGCTGTCTGCAGGACTTCAAGTCACTTAATCCCTGAGCCTCAGTTCCCACATCTGTGAAGTGGGCTCTACATCAAAGCCTGCTTCTTCAGATGATCACAGAAATTGTAAGTGTTCAATGTGTGCAGAGCGTTAGCCCAGGGCCTGGTGCACAGTCAGCATTAGGAAGTGTGCGCTATCGTAATGGCAATAGTCATAAGATGTTTTGAGCATAGTGTTCATACTCAGTACTCAATCAGTACCTTCAGAGGCCGCGAGGGCTGGGCTGCAGCTCAGTGGTACAGCGCTTGCCCCTCACGTGTGAGGCCCTGGGTTCCATCCCCAGCCCCACATAAAAACAAATACGTAAAAAGATACTGTGTCCATTTACAACTGAAAAACTATTTAAAAAAAAAAGTTTATGTATGGAGTCCTTATTCCCACAATATATTTGAAAATCAAAACAATACTAAAAAATCCTTAAAATACAAAATTAAGATTTGTGTGTAGTCTCTTTTCTAAGTTTTCCAAAGGTGAAAGCCTAGAGTTGTTCTAAGTTTTCTGATGATAAAAACATGGAAGCTAGACTTTTCTTTTCCGAGTGTCTGGGCTTTGCCAGTGCCCCACGAGCAGGCTTGGTGACAGCACAACTGCATCCACTGTGTCCTTGAGATGGGTATCCCAAAGCAGGACCCGGGGACCCAGTCGTAAGAGCCGGCACAGTTACAAATACAGACACAGGGGCCCGCTCTGAGTCAGAGGTGAGCCTGGTCCTGGGACCCAGTGGCGCTCAGAGGCTCCTGCTCAACGCGGCCAGCACTGGACCACAAGCCAGGGGCATTTTGATGAGGATTTAGTGGTTCAAGGCAAAGATGGCTCATTGTGCCCCTGGGGCCTTTGTGTTGGGCCCAGGAGCCAGCCTGTCCTTCTGCCTGTCCTCCCGTCCTCCCTTCTCCTCTCTGCAGCAGGTGGAATGTCTGGGCTTGGCCTTACTCCTCTGGAGGCTGGGGAGAGATTGAAAATACCATCCACCTTCCCCAGAACCGAGCCCCTCTCTCTGCCACCCGCTGCCCCCTGGGAGGGGATGTGACCCTAAACTGCAGTCCAGTGGGGCAGAGCTGACATGGACCCTAAGCAGCACAGGTCTGGGAGGCCCCAGAGGCCAAATCCTCCCCCCATTTCACAGATGGAAAAGCTGAAGCCCCGAGAGGAGAGGCTGAGGTCTGTTCAGAGTCTTTGGAAGATCAGAGGCCGGGTCAGGCTGAGCCCCTCTCCCTGTGGTGGCCACCGCCTGGGCCTCCGTGGAGCTGACTAGAGGAAGGGGTCTTCTCGGCAGCCTGAGAGATCAGAGCAGGCCGCTGCAGTCTGGGAACGGTGACCATGGCCAGGGGCCACATTTGCCCAGGCTTATCAGTTAGGCTGTCCCCAGGCCAGGGCAGGGACAGGGCAGCACCATCCCGAGTGGGTTCATTCTATCCCGTGTTTTCAGCCCAGAGTCCCTGACTGGGCTGGAAAGGACGAGTCCTGGGTAATGTGTGTCTGCCCTCGCCGTCCGTGTTCCAAACACGACTGTTTAATCTGTGCCTGAAACTTGTGCCTTGAAATCTTACTTAGCACTTTTTTTCTATTTTTAAAATGTGTACACCAAGAATCTTACACCAAGAATCTTTTACTTACACACTTTTTTAATGATTTTTTAAAAATATCTCACCCTGTTTGCCTGTCCGCCTGGGCTCCTTTAGCAGGACACCACTGTCCTGCTTTCCTCGTGGTCCTCGCTGGAAGCCTGAGGTCAGGGTGCACGCAGGCTCCGGCTGTGGCCCTCCCTCCCTCTCCCTCTGAGTCTTTCCTGCCCTCGGCTGAGGGAAGGGCCGGCGCCTGTCCCTTGGCTGCTCACACAAGCTTCCTGTCACTGCTGCTGCTCCTTGGTAAAACGGGTGGCCCTGGGGCCCTCAGTGGAGCAGGATCCTGATGCGGGCCCTCTTGCCCGTGTGCGTTGAGAGTTGGCCTCCTGGCCTGTTCGCCTGCTAGGAGAGCGTCCTCTGCCTCCTCCTGGCCATCCGTCCGTGTCCACCACACAGCAGATGGATGGCTGGAGGGCGGGACAGCCGGAAGGTGGCTCTCTTGGGTAGGGGACGAGGCACTATGGCTTCTTCTGAGGATCCCGCTGACCATGGGAACCCCACGTTCCCTGACTGCGTGAGGCCCTGCCCCGTGGCTGGCCCCTGTTTCCTTTCCTCCCCGCTGCTCCAGGCAGGGCCGGGCGGGGCCAGTGTGCATCAGCAGTGTCGCGGGGCAGGGAAGCTCCCCCTCTTGAAGGCACCCCACTCCACCAGGGGCAGCTCCTCCCAGCCCCACCGATAGGTTTTGGGAGCCAGAGTTGACGTGGGTTAAGGGTGCAGCTTGTGGAGCCCAGTCCTGGCCTGTCAACTGCGCTCCCGTGGGGACCTGCGTCTCTCTTTCCATCCTCCTTCTGTGAATGGGCTCGTCCCACCACCTCCCGAGGTGCGTGGAGGATTGCACGGAAGCCGTGCCTGAGGAAAGCCAGCACTGCCGTTGTTATTACGTCATTATCATTACTAGTCATGCTAGTCATAGTGCTAGTTAGTAGTAATGGCGACTAGGTCCACTGACTGAGAGACCTGACTCCCCAACCTGGCCCAGCCCAATTCCTGGCTCCCACCCCGGGGGGCGCATGTCACGTGCTCACCCGGGCGCTGTGAGCTCAGTGGGCGCTGTGGGCGGGCTTTCTGCAGAGGAAGCCCACAGGCAGAGCTGTCCCTTGGTCACCAGGACACGCAGGATCTGGAGCGAGCTTGACGGGGGTCAGGAGCTGTCCCTGCTGCTCCTCATCAGTCTGACCCTGTAAAATGTTTTCTTCCCTCTGAGCCTCAGTGTCTTTCATGTAAAATGGGGGTGTGCCCCTGGCAGGAGGCTGTCGTGAGTGTTCGAATGAGCTTAAGGAGGAGAGCGACTGCCTGGGACGCCTCTGGGGGCCCACGAGGCTGGGCAGTGCCGCGTCCAGGGCCTGGCCTGGCAGAGCCGTGCACACGTGAACACCGGGAGCGTTTCTGTGGTAGTTGTGCACACCCTCCACCCAGCGTCCCCTCTCACCAGAGCGTGTGCCCACACCCACGAGTCTTCTAGACACACACAAGAATGTTGGTGCAGCATGAGTCACAATGGCCTCAACTGGAAGCCGCCAGGTTTCAGTCGCGGTAATCGAGGGGATTGCCGGGCGTGTCCCCACAGGGGAACTGAGCAGCAGCGGGGCCGGCAGCGGGGAGCCTTCGCAGGCACGCGAGGCAGAGGTGGAAAGGACGGCGTCCACCCAGGATTCTGAACATTAGTTTAAAAATGAGCACAACCAATCAGAGGGGGCAGAGTTCATGACAGCGGCTGTTCTAGGGGACAGGGAGGCATTGAGGTCACCCTGAAAGGCGGCCTGGGCCGGGGGCCAGCGTGCAGGTGCACTGCTGTGTTCCCCGGATGTCCTCCCGCTGCTGCTCTCCTGGGTGGCTGCTGCAGTAGAGTGTCCCTTTGAACCTGAGCAGGACCATGCATGAAGAGGCTGAGGCAGGCGCTGACCTGTGGCCACTGTGCTCTCTCCCTCTCTCCCCAGCACCTGAAGTGACCTGGTTTTCGCGAAGCCGGCAGTCTGCCTGCAGGGAGCACCGACCCACGGCTGTGCCAGACTGTGAGAGGCGGGGAGAGCGTGCGTCCGAGGCTGTGTGTGCAGGCGACGCACGTGGTCTCCAAAGGTCCCGAACCCGGGGAGCAGGAAGGTGGCTGACCACCTGGGCCTCCCGACGATCCTGGACGCAGCCTGGACCTTTCTTGGCAGCTCAGCCTTCCTGGCGGGTGGGGGCGCCTCTCCTACTATGCAATTTTTCAAGAGCCCCTTGACCCTCCTCTTGCTTCTCCATATCCTTTGCCAGTGTGGGGACTTGGTTCTGGCCCTGGGGGTCAGCTTCAGGCCTATCTGAGGAGGGCCTTCAGGAGGAGGCCTAGCTCCCCTTCAGGACCACCCCCTTCCCCACGGACCCTCTCCCCACAACATCTCTGGGAATCCATAGCATACAGACCCCTTGGGGCCAAATCTGGAGGCTGGGCCCCAGCACTCGGGGAGCCCCGTTTCCCGCCAAACTGTGGCTCTCAAATCATTTCCAGGTTGAGATTCCAGGTGGTCCCTGGCTCTTGAGTCTTTGCAGGGAAGCCCTACAGCAGTGCATCCAGGAGAAGGACTGTCCCCATTCATAGATGCCGTGGCACAGAGGGGAGTGCCTGGAGCACGGGGTCTCTGTGCCCTTCATTGCCTGGCTTGTTGGGGACCATCTACACCTTCAGCGTCTGAGCTTCTCAAATAAGCCGCCAAGGAAAGCAAACAAAGTTGGACACGGGGCAAAAATGGAAGGACTAAAAAGCACAGGGGAAAGACAAAGAGATTTCCGGAGGCCATAAATGCCTGCCAGGGGATGAGGGGGCAGACCCCTGCTCTCTGGTGGACAGTCCATGTCTCGGGGAAACGGGTGACTGAGCTCGGAGTTTGGACCCGGTTCAGTGGGGTTCTTGGGTTTTGTGCCTTTGGGACAAACCCCAGGTGAAGAGGCCTGAGACCGCTTTGGTGTCGTTTTCTCAGCTTGGTTCCAGTAGTGATGGGTCCAACCCAGAGTGGGGGAGGGGACTCGGGGACATTGTCACACAATAAAGGGATCTTTTTTTTCAGGGCTACTAGGGTTGATCTTGCAACTCTGTAAATATGTATGTAGACACTTTTAAAAGCACGTATTTATGTCCCTGACTGTAAATGCTCCGTTTTTAAGGTTTTATAACGTGTGTTATTTAATCAAGCAGTCGACGGGCTGCAGCGTGGGGTCAGGCCATGGTCGGGAGAAGAGTCTCACGAGAGCAGAGAAGTGCTGACCAGTGGCCGATGTACGTTTCCCGCCCGCTGAAGTGCGTCTCTTGTTTTTAATTTCCATAAACTGGAATCCTCTGCGCTCCTACAGTGGACCCTCACAGGCATGGAAAACCGTGGCTGTCCCTGGTCCTGACAAGGACAGTTTCGCCCCGTAACTGCTCACACCACGAACTGCACCCCAGCCCTCAGCTCCTGAAGGCTCCCCCTCCCAGCTTCGGGGCAGCTCCTGAGCCCAGACTCCAGTCGCCTTCGGCCCGTGGTGAACTCTGGGGCCACCAGGGAGACCCTGTGTCCCCTGGGCACAGGGGCTGCTCACCCTCAGCACCGGGACTGTCGGGAGAAGTGTGGCCACAGTGAGGGGTCCTGAAGAGAGGAGTCCCTGGTGGGTGGAGTCGGGGGTGGGTGGCGGAAGGTGGTTCTGTGTCCGCCAGGTGGCCAAAACCAACAATAAAACGTGAAGAGCCATGGTGAGGAGTGGGCGCCGCGGGCGCCGCGGGTCTCTGTGCTTCATCGTCTGGGCCGGGAGGCTGGGCCGAGGGGCCCGAGTGGGCAGAGTCTTGTGACACTGTGGGAGCGCCTGCCCCGCCAGCACGGCTGCTTCGCCTGCCGTTTCTCTGAGTGGGAAATGGCCAGCCCTCTCCTGTCCTCCCACAGCCTCCCTGAGGTCCAGTTCACGTCTGTACCATTTCCCTCGTGTCTACAGAGCAGTGTGTTTGAGCATATTCAAGTCGTTTGGCCACCGCCATGTGCCATTTTAGAAGATGGCCATCACCCCAAGGAAACGCCATACCCACCAGCGGTCACTCCCTTCCTCCCCAGATACCTGACTACAAATCTGCTTCCTGTCCCCGGGGCTTGGTCTGCTCACGTGAGCAGAACCGTCCCGTCTGGGGTCTTCTGCGATGGCTTCCTTTGCCTGGCATGGCGTTCCCAGGCGGAGCAGCTGTTGGTGTGTATTCCTTTTGGTGGCCCAGATTCCCCTGAGGGGACGTCCAAGCTCTCGTCCAGCCAGTCTGCAGCGCTGGGCATTCGGACCGTGGCCATCGTTAAGGCTGATGCTGTGTCTGGGGAGAGTCTGTGCCCACGGGATTTCCTTGGGCATGCAGCAAGGAGGGACATGCAGGTCACATTGTGTCCACTCTCTTTAACATTCTGAGGACGTGCTAGACTGTTATCCAGAGTGGCCACGTTGCTTCACTAGCACTCGTCATTGTCCCCTTCATTTGAGCCATCCTGGTGGGTGTGAGTGCAATTCGAGTATTTTAGAAGGGCTTCGTGGTCCATCTGATCACAGGGCTCAGCAGAGTCAGGGACCAGGGCCTGGAGAAGATGGGGAGTCGGACGGGGAATTGAGGCTTCCTGGGACATGAGACGTGAGCGTCTTCTTGGGTTTAGAGGGAAGGACAATGACAGGGTGGTGACAGGACGCCCCCAGATGGACTTAACTTACGTCCAAGTATTGCAGGAAGGTAGGAAGAAGGGCCCGGGATTCTGTCTTCACCTAAACACTTCTAAAAGAGAGAAGTGAGAAACAGAACCAGCAGGGGTTTAGCGTCTGCATCTACAAGGGACGTGTTAGGAGGAGTTGGCTGTCCCAAGTACAGGAGCCGAGAGAAGTTCTGCCACCTGCCGTCTGTGAGCGGGAGGCCTGGGACAGCGTCCTGGAGGTGCGGTGGGATGAGCTGATGTGGGAATCCAGGCTGAGACCAGAAGAGGAGACGGCTGTCCTGCAGGCAGGGGACATGGGGGGGCTCCTCCTTCCTTCACCTTCCGTTCTCTCTGGGCCTCAGTGGACTGGACGGTGCCCCTCACCTTGAGGAGGCCGTCCACAGGGATTCAAGTGCCAGTCATCTGGAAGCAACCTGCAGACCCACCAGAAACCACGTCTAACGTGAGCGCCCGCCACCTCCTCAGGTCAACACCGAAGGTGGGTCCTCACCCTACCAGGACTGCCTCCTGCGGGCAAAACTTATCTAGAGAGTTAAGAATAGGGCCCTGCTGGGCTCAGGTCTGACACTGGCTGGCCCCGAGTCTGAGCAACAATGATGAATTTGTTGCAGGGACTCACGGGCGGTGACTGCAGGGAGAAGGTCAGAGGACTGCTCAGGCCAGTCCCGAGGACTTTGAGACATAGAGGTGGGACGTCAGAGGCTTCCTGGAGCAGGAGGGGACAGGACAGGGGATGCTTGGCCGACCCTGATCAGGTCTCCTAAATCTCATCTCCACATTGAGCCCTAGGAAGATTCATAAAGGGAGGAGAAACTTCCCTGGTATAACTGGTGATCTGGAATTCAAATCAAGACACTGTCCTCTTATAGAAGACCTTTCGGCTCGGCCAGACACTGTCACTCACAGCCCCATGTTGTCCTCACGAGCTTCAAGGTGGCAGAGCAGATCCAACCTCCCTTGTGCACAGGGGGGTGACTCACTAGGCCACACCCACTCAGCCTCAGCCTGCAGGGTGGGCTGCTATTTAGAGGCCCCCTTGCTGGGCTCTGCCAAGGGCCAGGCAATCCCTCTCCTCCAGCAGCCTATCAGTGTGGGTATCTTCTTAGCCACTTCACAGATGAAGAATCTGAGGCTCAGAGATGTTGAGCAATTTGTCCAGGGTCACACAGCTGGTAGATGTGGGCCAGGAAGTGGACCCAGGCCTCTCTGTGCCCAAGGGCCAACATTTCGTCCTCACCCCTCCCTGCCCCTCAATGCTCCTTCTACCTCTGCCCTGCTGATCTCTCCTGATCTCAGGACACCTAGAATATTGCCACAGAGGTCAGTCCCCCACCATGACAATCAGCTGTGTGAACTTTTGCCCCGACCTAGATCCGCAGCCATATACGAGGCGCAGGGTTCCAAGCCCAGGCTCCAGAGCGCCAGCCCAGGTCAAAGCCCTGCTCTGCTCCTCACTGGCTGGGTGACCTGGGCCTGGCAGGTGACCTCAGCGAGGTGCTTGGTTGTTACGAGGGGATAATCTCACTCTTCTCCATCCTAGAGAGGACAGAGGTAAGTGGTCCCTGGTCTTAGGGTGAGTCAGCTGTTCCTGGGGTCCCCCGGTCGGATGATTTAGAGAAAGATTCTTGGCCTCCGACCATGCACCTGTTGAATTGGAATGTGGGTGTCTGGGCCCCCTGTATTGTCTGTGTGTCCACCAAGTTGAATGCCCACTAAGTTTGGGAATTATGGCCACAGCAGGGATTAAAATAAGCGTCCCAGGCCCTGGGCAGAGCTCTGGGTCCAGGGTGCCCAGGGAGCTCTGGGATTGCATTGACAGTGTCTCCATCACCTTGAGGCTCAGGCTGTGCCCAGCGCTGAGTCTCTGGGAGGAGGTCACTGGTTCTCAAATGCACCCTCCGGGTGGTTCTAGAGCCTGCTGAACCTGGTCATCTGTGACAAAGGAGGGTGACTGCTCCTATGGACCTCTGGGGCAGCAGCCGAGAGAATGAGATGGCCTTGTCCCTGGGAAGTGTCAAAACGTGGCAGGGATGGCCGTGGAGCGTCCAGGACGTCGGTGAGGTCAGAGGTTAACAAACTGCAGAGTGACTGAGACTACGCTGTGTACACGGGGGGTGGGGGCCAGAGCAGCCGATGGGCACTGCTCAGCAGGCCCACAGTGGCCCTCTGTGCCCTGTCAGGGGCGCGTCTTCCTGGGCACCGTGGGTAGGACCCAGCAGCTCACTTGGGGCTGTGATGCTGCCGCTGACCAGCAGATGGGGGTCCTCCCTCATGTGAGGTCCAGGACAGAGTCCAGCGTCCTGGTTAAGGCTGGAGTCCAAGGAGCTTTGGGGCCCGGAGCCACTCAGCAAAGTGGCAATAGGTGTCCGCGAGTTCCACTCAGGGGCCTGCCAAGGGGTCCCTGCTCCAGAGGAGGCCTGGGGTCACCCTCAGGTAGGTGGGAAGGCAGGCACCCCCAGCCCCACCCGACCAGACGCTCCAAATGCCCCCGCGGCTCGGCTGAGCACACCCAGCTGAGAAGACAGAGCAGCCGCCCCCCGACTGTGGTGGGGAACCTGTGCTCCAAGGGGGGCTGCCCAGACCCTGCCCCTTTGTCACAACAGGTTGCTGGGGAGGGACAGGCCAGGGGGTGTGGGCATCCAGCCCAGGGGAAAATGGATCCCGCCTCCTGTTCCCAAGTAATGGAGCACAGATTGAATCTCTCATCCTTCCTTATCCGCCTCCTACTCCAGCAGCAAGCCAGAGAGTGAAGACAGCTTCCTGGATGGGTGAGGTCAGTGGAAGGCCACATCTGACCAGGGACAGCAGTCCTGTGCCTTACACCCTGGGGTTGGAGGGCGGGTGTGGGGAGTGGAGCCAGTAACAGTCAGTACTTGCAGGAATCTGAGGCTGAGGGACTCCTCAGATCTCACGCTGAGCACCTCACTTATCTGCCCCTAGTCCTGGTCCTGACCACGTAGGGGGCTTGTGTGTTTTTCTGATCTGTGTGTGCATTTCTGAATCCAATCGTGTCATTTGCAAAACCCCCCAAATCTTCTCACATACTTAGAAGAATAAAATCCAACTTCCCTTTCTGATCTAGAGGCTCCTCCGACCCTAGCCTTACCTGGCACAACTGCTCCCACCACCTTGTCCTCTCTGTCCCAGCCATAGCTCCTGCCTTCCTGCCTCTGTGCTACATAAGGTTTCTTCTGCCACAGGGCCTTTGCACTAACTGATTTCTCTGCATATAGCAACCTTCCTTCCAATCGCCACATGACTCTCAGCTAAATGTCATCTCTTGGGCATCCTTCCCTGACCACTCTGTTGAAGGTAGCAGCTTCCAGTCGCCTCTGCCATTGGGCCTATTCTTTGCACTCCTATCTGGCCAGGATCCTAGTCTCTTGGCTTCTCTAGGACAGGAGGCGGACCATAGGGGTTGGTTCAATG